TGATCAGCAGCTCTGATTGGTCAGAGCACGGCCAAGCCCCTCTGTGCGCGTGCATGAAAGCCACACACGCACGTTTGGCGCGACGCATCATGGGAGCTCGTCCACTGCGCAGAACCGGGAGAACCAGACGATGCCCAAATATAGGCGAGTTCAGCTAATCTCCCGGTCTCGGTGAAGTCCCATGATCTACTGAGCACAAGCCATTCATATGAATAGGGCGCCATCTTGGATCGCCGGGGCTTGGTATCTGGTCTTACACGGTGGCTGAGTGGTTAGCACTCTCGCTTCTCAGCAAAAATGTCCTGAGTTCTGTGTGTGTTTCTTCCGGGTGCTCTGGTTTCCCCTACCTTTAAAAATATGTACAATACTTCAGGGTGAATGAGTGTGTGGTTGTGAGTGTGACTATGGGACAACGGATGCAAATTAGCGCATGGTTACAATGTGTTACTCAATATGTACTGTCCCAACAAAATAAACTATAAAATTATAAAACAAAACATAGTCGAGACTACGTTCGTAAAAATGTACAGTCTATCTCCAACGTTCCACTTTCGCCTTTAATGAACTTTTTCCTTACACCGGCACCAGCCCCATTCATTTAACGAGTGCATTATGAAGTCCACAGCAACTAAACTAGAGTGGTCCAAAAAAATCCACCCCCCTCAGCATTGACACACATGTGGACCGGAGCTTTGGGCCAAGAGCCAACTTTTGGACCATCCTGTAAAGACGTTTTTGAGAGGTAAGAAGACGCCATACAAAAGCAGATGGTAATTCTCTTTCCAGGTACACCCCCACCAGCCCGGGTTAGGGCTTTTGAAGCCGGGTTCCACCTCCACTGGTCTTACCAAACCATCATACTCATTTTATTTCTCCATTGAGCTCCGTTAACTCCTTTTGCAGATTGTAACGATTGAATCTGAGTTTACCGTGACGTTTGTAATGTGCCGAGTGAGTGAAGCGTTTAGCCTAGCTTTAGCATTTAGCCTAGCTTTAGCAGCGTGTGTGTGAGAGAGGGAGAGCAGGACAAATGTACAATGTTTTGACTGTACACATTTTATTGTAAATCCCCTCTGTCGTCTCTGTGATTAGATCGATACATGTCCAGAGACCACAGGTGGAAACTAAACCTTTTATACAAATGTTTATTGTGCTTTGTCTCTGATCAAATAAATACATTCCATTCAATCTGTTTAATGTCTTTCCTGAATAAAGTACTTTGAGAGAGAAGCAGAACGAGCAGCAGCTGCAGGAGGCACATGTGGATGTGGGTCACTGTGTGTGTGTGTGTGTGTGTGTATGGTTCTTAGCTCTGAGAAACAAGCTGTGTGATTGGGACTGAGGGTAATCTGTAGATGAGAGAGAGAGAGAGAGGATGTATCTGTCTGTGTGTCTCTCTCTCCTTGTGTTTGTGTGTGTGCGTGCGTGTGTATGTACATGTACGGTGTGTTTCTTTTCTGTGGACCACACTGTGTTATTAGACTGTGATTACATTAGTCCATCTCTTTTACGCAACAAAAAAAAAAAGTCCAATCTTCCCCAACACACGTTTGTGTTACCTGGTGGGTCCCTTTGACAGGGCCGTTCAGAATGGGACCCATAGACATAATCTTTTTTTACTGGGACTACTTTAAGTAATACAAAACAGTCAATAGAAACCAAACAACTATTTTAAAGGAATTTTATTTTAGATTTTTTTTTCGAATTGCAGTGATTCTATTTTTGACATAGAATTTAATGCCACTCCATGTCCGATGTCTAAGGTCATCTGGTGAGGCATTAATGCAGGCCAGGCAGTGAGACTTCCCAGGGACCTTTCCAGTCTGTATGAAAGGTGTCATGGTCTTCTCCACAGCCTTCACCTCAGATGCAGACCATGGCTTTCTTACACGTTCTAGGGAGAGAAATAAAAATATATTAGCAATATACACTCCCAGGGTTAGGACCAAGTAGCCTGGCTGTAATCCCCCACCTGGTACACTTACCAGAAGGGGCACTGCCACTACCATGGGGTGCATCTGGATGAATGGTTGAAGGTTCTCCGCTTGAAGTTTCTTTTAGCCCGTCCGTTTGTGAGAGGATCTCTACTGCTCTCCCTGTCGCACAGAAAATAAAAATACAAGTGGCCTTTAGGGGAAAAAAATCATACATATTTTAATAATATCAAGAATTACCTTCAGGCTCAATTTGTATCTGGTCGAGGCTCTTTCCTTCGAATTCCGTCACTCTTCCCTGCTCCATGGCCATCAACACTTTGCTGATTTTGGCCAGCTCCAGTGTCCCCTCTGGTAGTCTGTAATATTGTCTGTGGATGCGAATGTCATGGCCGAGGAAGTTGGCAAGTATGTCCATCTCATTCTCTTTCATATTGAGAACTGTAGACATAGTAGCTATGTGCTTTCTAAGTTTGGTTGAGGATAGCATCTCTGGATGCACCGCACCACATTCTTTGGCTACCTGGCGTAGGGAGTCTGACCCCCTGATGTGGGTGTCTGCGCCCGGGCGGGAAAAGAAGTATGGGTTATGGTCAGAGATGGAACAGGCCCTTCTGTTCTCCACCAGCACCTCCATCGAAGCAATCATTTCAGGAGTCAAAAGAACCGGCACTTTCCGACTTCTTTTCCCTTTAATTTCAATGCGTTGAAAATGCTGACACAGCTTTTTCTCAAGTTGGGACAGTCCCAGAGCAATGTCAGAATGGATCCCAGTCTTACTTCTTAAGGTAAAGGCTGTCAGTGGCATCTTTGAAACCTCACCTTCCCTTCTTCGATTGAAAATAATGACCTCACAAAGAGTCAAAACTGCCAGTTTAGACCAATGCTTAGACGTTGGCTCACTTATCAGGGTTTGCACATATTCAGGTCGACATACCTCAATATGTGCATGCATGGCTCTAACGTCCTCAGTCAGAGGGAGCAGGTCCGGAGTGTCACTTGGCTTGCCGGAGGGTCTGTAGGGCAGCAGAAGAAACACAGACGTCCCACCTCTTCTCAAAAAGCAGCCGGCTTCGTTGGAGGTTTTTAATAAATAGTTCATCAACACAATGCTCCATTTTTGAGTCACATTCAAGAATATCTGCTAGCTTTCTGAGGCTATGGCCGAGTTTGAGGGCCAAGGATGGAGTCTTGTATTGATTTGTTTCCTCATCATATCCAGCCACAGACCTGACTGCATCAATCACATGGTTAAAGTTGGAAGGACTAAAGAAATCCTTAATTGTTTTCAGTTTCCCTGCGGTTTTTGCTTCGTTAATTAACCTACCGACTTCTCTCATTTTCTGCCTAATGTAATCATGCTTTGTCTTATCATGCCCGTGTTTTAAGTACAGGTGCTCTCCGAGTCTCAGAATCCCCTTTTCTGCTTTGACAACACCCGTGACCTCATCCTGATGCATTGCCGAAATTAAAGACCACAGCTTTTTGCTGATGCCCTCCGGTACAGGCTGGGCTAGGGAGCAGAGGGACTGGACCCTACTTCTACCTGGTTTAGCCTGGTTTAGCCTGGGCATCTTTCTGTGAAAGCCGGCACCTGGCCACATGCCTCCACAGCGACTTTCGCTTAAGCAATGCCCCACAGTCTATACAGTGCAAAAACTCACTGGATTTAACTGGGGAATTTGGCTGTTTAGCTGGGACTAAAGTTCCAATGCCGGCCTTTAAAACCTCAAAATTGTGCTCACGATTTCCACTATTCCTGATCAAATCAAACTGAAGTTTACGTGCTTTAGATTTCACAGGTAGAGCCAATGCTCTGGCTACGTCACTTTCATTTCCATGTTTTCTAGTCAAATGACGGGACATTTTGTGGCAGGACATTGAACAGTAGAGGCAGAAGTGTCTCTTGCTGTAAACCCTGCCCCCATTTTTCTTCTTTTGCAGCTGCATGATAACAATCTTATTTGCCTTTGGTTCGTCACTTTCCGAGTTTGAAGAAAAGTGTTTTTGATTTTTCTTTTTCCATACTTTTTTACAGGTTTCTTCTTGACAGTTAAATCGTCAGAATCTGAGTCGACTTCATCAATTAGGGACTCTTGACTAAGCTGCACAAACAACAAATAATTTGTAATCATTCTATATAACAATTTGAAGTCATGACTTGTAGTCAGCACTTACCAGTGGTTTGTAAGCGTGCGCTTCAGTGTGCTCCTCCATGATTTCTTGCAGCCTAATGAACCACACACTTGCACCTTTTTCTAGCCTGACACCTGATTTCCTCTGTTGTGCTGCTCCATGATTGGCTCCAGCCTGCTGGACTGAAATTGCCCCAGTGTGCCCCTCCTTGATATCCCGCAACCCACCACCAGGGTTCCGACACATAACACACTTTTTTCAGGAAAGTAAACCTCCAGGGGTCCTTTCCATATTTTTACAGAGACTGCATAAGGACCGTTAGAAAAGCATTACCCATTGATTATTAAGCTTGGACCAGTGGGGTCCGGTGTTCGGGCCCCACCACGTAAAACCAGTCCCCATGACGTGAGTGGAATCTCAGGTTATGGAACCAACCAGGAGTTGAAAACAAGTGCACTCACGCACACACACACACACACGCACACGCACACGCACGCACATACACACACTCACACCTCCTTTCCTCGCTACAACTCCAGAATCTCAACACTATCCCCAACTTCTGCAAAACACCTGCGCTTCCTCTTCACCTTCTACTCCTCTTCCTCTCCTCTTCCTCTTCCACTCGGTAATGTCCGTGCGTAACGATCCATGATGAATGCGCGTAAAAGTGGGAGGAGGCAAAGAATGAGCTCTGTCCCACGGAGTCCATCCTTTCCTCTCACATCCTCTCTCCTCCTCTCTCTGCTCCGGACTTCACGGAACCAGAAGGAACCAGGACGGACTGCGTAACTCCCGTGGTTTCTCCCCCGTCTCTTAGCGCTCTCTCTCGGCCGTTTCACGCTGGATCCCCCGGGCCCCCAGCAGCAGCAGCAGCAGTGGAGCGGCAGTGAGCGGCAGCCTCCTCCGTGGACCGATGAGCTGGCTCAGATGTCCCAGCACATCTACACTCGACACGGGATAGACGCACTGCAGAAGCCCGGGGTCTTCCAGGTGAGACCCCAATGTTTGACTTTTGGAGTTTTGCTTTTGTAGGTCAACGCGCCTGGTTGGATTTTGGTGTTATTAAGATATTTTGTGAGACTGGCAACGAATAAATAATATAAATATATATATTTCATGTTCATTATTACGAATAATAATAATACTACAACAACTGTTAATTGATTGATTTTATTAATCCGCAGAAATTATACATTAATTCATTCCATTTGATCTATATATCCCTCTGTTTATCTGTTCAAGTGCTTATGTTATATATCTTATAAGTATTTACAATAATTACATCTCTTATTTTATGGAGACACTTTTCTACACATGTTCTTCTGTGTATTGTGTACTTTAAATAATGTGTGTGATTTAATGTGTTTAACCTTTTCTCGCTGGCCTCTCTCTGGTCCCTCTCTGGTCCCTCTCTGGTCTCTCTCTGGTCTCTCTCTGGTCTCTCTCTGGTCTCTCTCTGGTCTCTCTGTCTGGTCTCTCTGGTCTCTCTCTGGCCTCTCTCTGGTCCCTCTCTGGTCTCTCTCTGGTCTCTCTCTGGTCTCTCTCTGGTCTCTCTCTCTGGTCTCTCTCTAGTCTCTCTCTGGTCTCTCTCTCTGGTCTCTCTCTGGTCTCTCTCTGGTCTCTCTCTCTGGTCTCTCTCTCTGGTCTCTCCCTGGTCTCTCTCTGGTTTCTCTCTCTGGTCTCTCTCTCTGGTCTCTCTCTGGTCTCTCCCTGGTCTCTCGCTGGTTTCTCTGGTCTTTTTCTGGTCTCTCTGTGGTCTCTCTGTGGTCTCTCTGTGGTCTCTCTCTGGTCTCTCTCTGGTCTCTCTCTCTGGTCTCTCTCTCTGGTCTCTCTCTGGTCTTTCTCTGGTCTCTCTCTGGTCTCTCTCTGGTCTCTCTCTCTGGTCTCTCTCTGGTCTCTCTCTGGTCTCTCTCTCTGGTCTCTCTATCTGGTCTCTCTCTCTGGTCTCTGTCTGGTCTCTCTCTCTAGTCTCTCTCTGGTCTCTCTCTGGTCTCTCTCTCTGGTCTCTCTCTGGTCTCTCTCTGGTCTCTCTCTGGTCTCTCTCTGGTCTCTCTCTCTGGTCTCACTCTGGTCTCTCTCTGGTCTCTCTGTCTGGTCTCTCTGTCTGGTCTCTCTCTGGTCTCTCTCTGGTCTCTCCCTGGTCTCTCTCTTGTCTCTCTCTGGTCTCTCTCTGGTCTTTCTCTGGTCTCTTTCTGGTCTCTCTCTCTCTGGTCTCTCTCTGGTCTCTCTCTGGTCTCTCTCTGGTCTCTCTCTCTGGTCTCTCTCTGGTCTCTCTCTGGTCTCTCTCTCTGGTCTCTCTGTCTGGTCTCTCTCTCTGGTCTCTCTCTGGTCTCTCTCTCTGGTCTCTCTCTCTGGTCTCTCCCTGGTCTCTCTCTTGTCTCTCTCTGGTCTCTCTCTGGTCTCTCTCTGGTCTCTCTCTGGTCTCTCTCTCTGGTCTCACTCTGGTCTCTCTCTGGTCTCTCTCTCTGGTCTCTCTCTGGTCTCTCTCTGGTCTCTCTCTGGTCTCTCTCTGGTCTCTCTCTGGTCTTTCTCTGGTCTCTCTCTGGTCTCTCTCTGGTCTCTCTCTCTGGTCTCTCTCTGGTCTCTCTCTGGTCTCTCTCTCTGGTCTCTCTCTGGTCTCTCTCTCTGGTCTCTCTCTGGTCTCTCTCTGGTCTCTCTCTGGTCTCTCTCTGGTCTCTCTCTCTGGTCTCACTCTGGTCTCTCTCTGGTCTCTCTCTCTGGTCTCTCTCTGGTCTCTCTCTGGTCTCTCTCTGGTCTTTCTCTGGTCTCTCTCTGGTCTCTCTCTGGTCTCTCTCTCTCTGGTCTCTCTCTGGTCTCTCTCTCTGGTCTCTCTCTCTGGTCTCTCTCTGGTCTCTATCTGGTCTCTCTCTCTCTGGTCTCTCTCTGGTCTCTCTCTCTGGTCTCTCTCTCTGGTCTCTCTCTCTGGTCTCTCTCTCTGGTCTTTCTCTGGTCTCTCTCTGGTCTCTCTCTCTCTGGTCCCTCTCTGGTCTCTCTCTCTGGTCTCTCTCTCTGGTCTCTCGCTGGTCTCTCTCTGGTCTTTTTCTGGTCTCTCTGTGGTCTCTCTGTGGTCTCTCTCTGGTCTCTCTCTCTGGTCTCTCTCTGGTCTCTCTCTCTGGTCTCTCTCTGGTCTCTCTCTGGTCTCTCTCTAGTCTCTCTCTAGTCTCTCTCTGGTTTCTCTCTGGTCTCTCTCTGGTTTCTCTCTAGTCTCTCTCTAGTCTCTCTCTAGTCTCTCTCTGGTCTCTCTCTGGTCTCTCTCTGGTCTCTCTCTGATCTCTCTCTGGTCTCTCTCTGGTCTCTCTCTCTAGTCTCTCTCTGGGCTCTCTCTGGTCTCTCTCTGGTTTCTCTCTGGTCTCTCTCTGGTCTCTCTCTCTAGTCTCTCTCTAGTCTCTCTCTGGTCTCTCTCTGGTTTCTCTCTGGTCTCTCTCTCTCTAGTCTCTCTCTGGTCTCTCTCTGGTCTCTCTCTGGTCTCTCTCTGGTCTCTCTCTGGCCTCTCTCTGGCCTCTCTCTGGCCTCTCTCTGGCCTCTCTCTGGCCTCTCTCTGGCCTCTCTCTGGTCTCTCTCTGGTCTCTCTCTGGTCTCTCTCTGGTCTTTCTCTGGTCTCTCTCTGGTCTCTCTCTAGTCTCTCTCTAGTCTCTCTCTGGTCTCTCTCTGGTCTCTCTGCTGCTGTGATTTAGTGCCATGAACAAATAAACTGTGCGTTGTACATATTTAATTATGGTGAACAGCTGTAATGCGTCCACTGCGGCCGATACGGTGCAGCCCTGGAACATAAATAGTCTGTAATGATGAATAAATGATCCGACGGAAGATGGATTCTGGCTCAAAAACCTTCAAATAATCGTTATCATGCAATGGATGTTTGGTGTTTAGTTCAGAGGTCTCTCTCTCTGGTCTCTTTCCGGTCTCTCTCTTTCTGACCTCTCCCTCTGGTCTCTCTCCCTCTGGTCAATCTCAGGTCAATAATACGTTTTGGCTCGGCCTAAAAATCTGTTCAAAAGTGGTACTGCAGCCTCTCCCACTCTCCCTGACTCAGGTTGCCAGATATGCAGATGAATCCAGCTGGGACCATAACAGCTGAATAGACAAGAGTTTTGTCAACAACAAATCTATAACCAACACCTTTTTCACAAAGATAGAAATCCTGGTTTTATTCCTTGTTTTGTCGTTAATGATTTGAGAATCATAACGAGACCTTTTTTAGTTCTGCGCCACATGGTACTTTACCAGTGAGATTAGCTCCACGCTGTGAGTTCTGGCGCCCGGATCACAGACTTTCAGATTGGTGAAACGGTGGAGGGCGGGACATCCAAATGAAACCAGATTAACAGATTTAGAGGCTGGAAAAATAATTTAGAATCGAAATATCTCTGAACTACTGTTATAAGTTAAAGAAGTATTGGAAAAGAACATGTTTTATTAAAGCCTTTTGACAGATTAGGGCCCTTTAATGATGACAGATTAGGGCCCTTTGATGATGACAGATTAGGGCCCTTTAGTAATGACATATTAGGGCCCTTTAATGATGACAGATTAGGGCCCTTTAGTGATGACATATTATGGCCCTTTAATGATGACAGTTTAGGGCCCTTTAATGATGACAGATTAGGGCCCTTTAATGATGACAAATTAGGGTCCTTTAATGATGACAGTTTAGGGCCCTTTAGTGATGACAGATTAGGGCCCTTTAGTGATGACAGATTAGGGCCCTTTAGTGATGACAGATTAGGGCCCTTTAGTGATGACAGATTAGGGCCCTTTAGTGATGACAGATTAGGGCCCTTTAGTGATGACAGATTAGGGCCCTTTAGTGATGACAGATTAGGGCCCTTTAATGATGACAGTTTAGGGCCTTTTAATTATGACATATTCAGGCCCTTTAATGATGACAGATTAGGGCCCTTTAATGATGACAGATTAGGGCCCTTAAATCATGACAGATTAGGGCCCTTTAATGATGACAAATTAAGGCCCTTTAATGACGACAGATTAGGGCCCTTTAGTGATGACAGATTCGGGCCCTTTAATGATGACAGATTATGGCCCTTTAATGATGACAGATTAGGGCCCTTTAATGATGACAGATTAGGGCCCTTTAATGACGACAGATTAGGGCCCTTAAATGATGACAGATTAGGGCCCTTTAATGATGACAAATTAAGGCCCTTTAATGACGACAGATTAGGGCCCTTAAATGATGACAGATTAGGGCCCTTTAATGATGACAAATTAAGGCCCTTTAATGACGACAGATTAGGGCCCTTTAGTGATGACAAATTAGGGCCCTTTAAAAAGAAAAACAGTCTTTAAAACTGGGTCACTCACAACTGCCATTGGCACAAAAACATTTTTTCGTTTCGCTTTAGAAGAAATGACAAGGACATGGATCAGAGTCGGTGTAATGGGGTCAGAGAGGAGAGTTTTATCACGAGGCTGTCAGGTCCAAGGTGCCCTTCTGCTCAGCTCGGACTCGAACCCAAGAGAGAAGGGAATGTGACAGTTCTGCGTTGTTTCCTGAATGTATTTGCATTTATTTCACACGTACCTCTGGTTTCACTGAGGATCTGTGGAAATTATGAACTGCGTGTGGAAAAATGACTTATTTGCCCCCAAATATGTCCCTTTTTAAAAAATGACTATTGGCCCAAAAGTTCCTTTTTAAATGGAAGCAACAATGAACAATTAGGATTACAGTTAAATAGACTAGTGACAGTCTGACCGACAGGGAACTAACCAGTGGAGCCGAGTTCGAACACCGTCTGAACCAGCCTGTCATCCAAGCTGCGGTTCATGAGCTAACGCAAGTTGTACCAGTCTACTAGTCTGAACCTAAGTCTGTGATCCAGGTGGTTTTAGCTCAGAACAATCTCGCTCTAGAGGCTAATCTATGCAAACTTAAGAGGTCTCACAAGGATTCTAAGTATTAACGATAAAACGAGGAACCATGTGTGAGGAGCCTACGAAAGACCAAGAAAGACCAGAAAGAAGAGAGTGACCAGAGATGAGACAGAAAGACAAGTAGAAACGCAGAAATGAAGACCAAGAGAGACCAGAAAGAGACGAGAAGAACAAAAAAAGCCGGGAGAATAAAGAAGAGAAAACCAAGAGAGATGACCAAGAGGGGAGAGACTAGAGGGGAAGGAAACGGATGAGAGGAAGCCAGCCATGGGGGGGGGGGGGGAATTGTTTTAATGTTTAATTGTTGTATTTGTAATTGTTTAATTTTGTAATTGTTTAATTGTTTATATGTGTTTAGGTATCAAGAAACACATGCAGAGTCAGGAGACACACCTCCGCAAGGGGAATTCTCCAGCACACTCTTACAAACAGTGGTGTGTGGTGTGGGTTGTGGGTGACTCAGTGAACAGAGGGACCTATTCAGACCAGCCGTTGAAGCGCTCGGATGGAAGCACCACCTCCACCAGCTTCATCCTCCGTCAGGTCAGAAACACATTTATATATCATCTGGGACTGCTGCAGACTGTATTCAGCAGTGCAACCCAGGAAATTCTCCCATAGACCTCAATGTGAACACAAATGGTCAGTCCTCAGTTGTCATAGAAACTACAGCTTTCTCAAAGGTGGATTGTAGAGTCTCCTGTGGTTCTGAACTTGTTTTTGATAAGAAATGTATTGGTTTTACAATAATGTGTGAGAATGGTTTGTTTTGGACAATAGTGTGAAATAGATACTTTATTGATCCTGTAGGAGAATTCAGGTGTATGTATGTTTTAATATGTATGTTGTTATTAATGATTTCATATGATGTGAATTGGGTCTGAACCAGGTCTGAATCAGGTCTCAACCAAGTCTGAACTGTACCAAGTCTGAACTGTACCAAGTCTGAACTGTACCAAGTCTGAACTGTACCAAGTCTGAACTGTACCAAGTCTGAACTGTACCACGTCTGAACTGTACCACGTCTGAACTGTACCAAGTCTGAACTGTACCACGTCTGAACTGTACCACGTCTGAACTGTACCACGTCTGAACAAGGTCTGAACCAGGTCTCAACCAGGTCTGAATCAGGTCTCAACCAGGTCTGTACCAGGTCTGAACCAGGTCTGGAATGATATGAAATCTGTGATGAGTTTTAAACAGTATTAATGCTGTAAAAGGACCTTCCACGGTCGCTGGGCGGCACGGTGGCTGAGTGGATAGCACTCTCGCCTCTCAGCAAGAAGGTCCTGGGTTCGAATCCCGGTTGGACCAGGGCCTTTCTGAGTGGAGTTTGCATGTTCTCCCCGTGTCTGCGTAGGTTTCCTCCGGGTGCTCCGGTTTCCCCTACCACTAAAAATATGTACAATAGGTCTGGCATGTGCCTCCTGTACTGGCACCCCCAACCCCAAAAATAACAATTGTAAACCGCTTTGAGACTCCGATGTGCAGTGAAAAGGCGGTATATAAATAAAGATTACTAATCCACTGTCAATAGCATAGTGCTAACAAGCGCTAACACCTGCTAACACTTGCTAACACATGCTAACAAGTGCTAACACGTTACTTTGGGAGCCTTGTCCATTCACACCTGTTATGTGGTGGATAAATATAGTCCCTGAGGGCTTTCTACTCTATTATTATCAATGCTCTTGTGACTTCTCCGCTTAGGAATCTACCTCTGAAACAACATGCTAATGCTAATGAGAATGCTACATCTCTTTAGCATCTCTATGTGACCTTGTAAAGGCAGGATGTCAGGACTAATGGGTCAATGTGATTTATGGTGGTGTAAGTCCGCGGCGTTTTGGTGCATCTAGGTCACTGCGCACATGGGATTTGAGAGAGATGTGTTTTTATAAAGAGGTAACAACAGAAGGTTTCATTGGGAAGTAACGTCCTCGAGCTCCGTAAACGTTTGTGTCTCATTCACAATTTTAGGCTTTGATAACACTCTCTGTGATCCTGGTGTTTGTATTGTCATATCGTCTTTGTAAATCCAGATATGAGCCAGAAAAACTGACCAATTGGGGGCCTCCTGGAGTCCCCCTCTCCCCAGACGCCTCCTCCTCCGCTTTCAGAGTACAATAAATGATTGGGTGTGATGATTTAATTATGCTTTGATCTGGTTTTGTTTTGGTTTAGTCCTGGTTTAGTCCTGGTTTAGTCCTGGTTTAGTCCTGGTTTAGTCCTGGGTATAGTTTAGTTTATTAATGGAATGCCCTTTGAGATGTGCCATGTCATTTTCGAGGGTTAGACTTGCTTTTAGTCCTGGTTTAGACCTGGTTTAGTCCTGATATAGTCCTGGTTTGGACCTGATTTAGTCCTGGTTTAGACCTAGTATTTTGTCTTGGTTTAGACCTGGTTCAGACTTGGTTTAGACCTGGTTCAGAGCTGGTTCAGACCTGGTTTAGTTCAGTCCTGGTTTGGACCTGATTTAGTCCTAAACTTTAGGTTTAGCTCTAGCAGCGAGTAGCCTTAGCAGGGACAGACCGGGACAGACCGGGACAGACCGGCGCGGCTTCTGATTGGTTCTTGGTAACTCTGCCGTTGCTATCAACACAAGCTAGTCACACATTTAGCTCCACATTCTCGTTCAAAAATCCAGTTCAAGCCAGTTTGAACCATCCTCTTCTGCATTAAGGCTAACACTGCGGTCACTTCAGTCATAATAATCTGTCGTTATGTTTCCGTGTGTTAACAATGGATTATAGTGAATTATGGGATTGCATGAACACAACATTATTAATGATGGTGTAATCTATAGACGTCTGTGTGTGATTAACAACGGGAGAAAGTAATTAGCAAACATTGAACAACGATAAGAGACATTTTACACTGACTCAGAATCATTCACTGGAACATTATGGATCTGTCGCATCGTTCAATAAAACACACACTTCCTGTTTCTTTCCGTTTAAATAAAGTTTTGGTCCCGAAGCAGAACCAGATTATTATTTTTTTATTTTGTATTTTTTACTCTGGGATTGTGGGAGTTTAACCAACCAGTCCTGATGCTCTCTGTGGGGTCCAATACTGACAAAATGGTGGAACGGAAAGTTTAATAGAGAGTAAAACTAAACCAGGACTAAAACAGGGCTAGATCACGACTAAACCAGGACTAAACCAGGACTAAACCAGGACTAAACCAGGACTAAACCAGGAATTATCCAGGACTACCCCAGGACTAAACCATGACTAAACCAGGAATTAACCAGGACTAAACCATGACTAAACCAGGAATTAACCAGGACTAAACCAAGACTAAACCAGGACTAAACCAGGACTAAACCAGGACTAAACCAAGACTAAACCAGGACTAAACAGGACTAAACCAGGACTAAACCAAGACTAAACCAGCACTAAACCAGGACTAACAGGACTCAATTCCAGGACTAAACCAGAACTAAACCAGGACTAAACCGAGACTAAACCAGGGCCAAACCAGGACTAAACCAGGTCCAAACCAAGACTAAACCAGGTTCAAACCAGGACTAAACAAGGACTAAACCAAGACTAAACCAGGTCCAAACCAGGACTAACCCAGGACTAAACCAGGACTAAACCAAGACTAAACCAGGACTAAAACAGGACTCAATTCCAGGACTCAATTCCAGGACTAAACCAGGACTAAACCGAGACTAAACCGAGACTAAACCAGGACTAAACCAGGACTAAACCAGGACTCAATTTCAGGACTAAACCAGAACTAAACCAGGAGTAAACCGAGACTAAACCGAGACTAAACAAGGTCCAAACCAGGACTAAACCAGGACTAAACCAGGACCCAATTCCAGGACTAAACTAGGACTAACCCAGGTCTTAACCAGGTCCAAGCCAAGACTAAATCAAGTCTAAGCTAAGACTAAACAACTTCCAAGCCAGTACTAAAACAGGCATAAACCAGGTGTGATCAAGAACAAATCCAGGACTAAACCAGGTCTAAAGTGTTAGACCAAGATCAGAGCAGGACTAAACCAGGACTAAACCAGGTCTAAAGTGTTAGACCAAGATCAAAGCAGGACTAAACCTACAGGTCCCAAAGAAGGTCAAACCCAATCATTTACTGTACTTTGAACGAGGAGGAGGAGGAGGAGGAGGCGTCTGGGGAGTGGAAGGGCGCTCTTAATTGACCCCACGTTGTTAAGGGCAGCTGTTTCCATGGCGACTCCAGGGATTCAAAGACGCATTCACACCTGACAACCCCTGACAAAACGGAGGATTTACATCTGAAATTACTCTGTACAGTACGTGCTCAAGGAGAAGATGTAGCTTTGGTTTCTGGAGCTAAAACTAAACTAAAGATACATGTGTGTCAATGATGGGTTTAGTCCTGGTTTAGTCCCGGTTTAGTCCTTTGTTAGTCCTGGTTTGGTCCTGGCTTGATCTTGGTTTAGACCTGTTTTAGTCCTGGTTTATTCCTAGTTTAGTCCACGTTTAGTCCTGTGTTAGTCATGGTTTAGTCCTGGTTTAGTCCTAGGTTAGTCCTGGTTTAGTCCTGGGTTAGTCCTGGTTTAGACCTGGTTTAGGATGGTTAATTTCCATCCGTTCTCATTGGCCCCTTTATTCACAACGCTCCGGCCTTTGTTCTGATTTCACTCCTACTTTTGTTGCATGTTCTCCTCGTTCCTCTTACCTGAGAACAGTTTACGGCAGTCTTGACCCTCGCCCACATCCTGTGTGTGTGTGTGTGTGTGTGTGTGTGTGTGTATGTGTGCGCATGTGTGTGTGTGAGCGGTGACGGTGTTGACCTCGCGTTAGTTCAATGAGAAAGTCCGGTTGCCATGGTTTCGGTTTCTAACTAGATGTGTCAGTTATTGACTGCGGCCGTACTCTCTCCTCTCTCACCTATCATCACAGAGAAGTTTTACAGACCTGTGTGTGTGTGTGTGTGTGTGTGTGTGTGTGTGTATTATAAAGAGGATTGGATCAGTTTTGTTGGTTTTAGATGCTTATAGATAGATTCACAGTTTAGAAACAGAGACCTGGTTTAGACCTGTCTTAGACCTGGCTTATTCCTGGTTTAGAACTAGTGTAGACCTGGTTTAGACCTAGTGTAGACCTGGCTTAGACCTGGTTTAGACCTAGTGTAGACCTGGCTTATTCCTGGTGTAGACCTAGTGTAGACCTGGTTTATTCCTGGTTTAGACCTAGTGTAGACCTGGCTTAGACCTGGTTTAGACCTAGTGTAGACCTGGCTTATTCCTGGTGTAGACCTAGTGTAGACCTGGTTTATTCCTGGTGTAGACCTAGTGTAGACCTGGCTTATTCCTGGTGTAGACCTAGTGTAGACCTGGTTTATTCCTGGTTTAGACCTAGTGTAGACCTGGCTTAGACCTGGTTTAGACCTAGTGTAGACCTGGTTTATTCCTGGTTTAGACCTAGTGTAGACCTGGTTTATTCCTGGTTTAGACCTAGTGTAGACCTGGCTTAGACCTGGTTTAGACCTAGTGTAGACCTGGCTTATTCCTGGTGTAGACCTAGTGTAGACCTGGTTTATTCCTGGTGTAGACCTAGTGTAGACCTGGCTTATTCCTGGTGTAGACCTAGTGTAGACCTGGTTTATTCCTGGTTTAGACCTAGTGTAGACCTGGCTTAGACCTGGTTTAGACCTAGTGTAGACCTGGTTTATTCCTGGTTTAGACCTAGTGTAGACCTGGTTTATTCCTGGTTTAGACCTAGTGTAGACCTGGTTTAGGCCTGGTTCAAAACAACATGTATTATTACATTCGTAGGTTTCCCCAAAACAACATTTACATAAAAGGTCAAAACAGAATTTATTGTGTTCATGTGACATCACAACATTCCAAAAGGCCTTTAGTTTAACTCTGTGTTGGAGAGCAGCTGATAGGTCCAACCTCGGATCCAGGAGAAAACCCAGAGAGCTACTTTGCCGGGACAATAAAGGCAGAGAGCTACTTTCCCGGGACGATAGAGGCAGAGAGCTACTTTCCCGGGACGATAGAGGCAGAGAGCTACTTTCCCAGGACGATAGAGGCCTAGAGCTACTTTCCCGGGACGATAGAGGCCTAGAGCTACTTTCCCGGGACGATAGAGGCCTAGAGCTACTTTCCCGGGACGATAGAGGCCTAGAGCTACTTTCCCAGGACGATAGAGGCCTAGAGCTACTTTCCCGGGACGATAGAGGCAGAGAGCTACTTTCCCGGGACGATAAAGGCAGAGAGCTACTACTTTAAGCAAACCCTGGGAAGGAGAAAAAAACGATATATTGTGTACATTAAAGAAGCTCTGCCCGATTTATTTTCTAATGAGTTCAGAAAAATGCTTATTACTACATACTAGTTGTATTATAATCTGTAATTTAATGTAAAACTTGAGCTCATTGATTCAGCTGTGTATGAACTCAGGCCGTAAAAAGTGCTGAGTAGAGACTTAGCGTGACGCCCGCTCTCCTCCAATCACAGAACGAGGCTGCGTCCTCTAGCCTCTACAGCGCTGCTAAACACAGTAGCATGTTAGCATAAGTGGCTATAACTCCTCTGGCTGTAACTGCAGACACAGCAAAACAGCCCAAACCACACAACAGTGAGGAAGAGAAGAGGGAACTAAAGCCAAAACATGATCAAAGAAGAAACCAAGCCCTGAACAGAGCTAGCTTACATCGTATCCTCTGGAGAGACTGGTCTATGGGAGAGACCTGCGGGACCGCCTCGGACTATCTACGCGCGGACTATATACGCTCGGACTATCTACGCTCGGACTATCTACGCTCGGACTATCTACGCTCGGACTATCTACGCTCGGACTATCTACGCTCGGACTATCTACGCTCGGACTATCTACGCTCGGACTATCTACG